AATCTGCAGAAGGCACATGAAGGAGTTCTGTCAGGCCATTCTCCTGATTTCAAAGTGAGAATCCATGGCTTTACAGCGCTCTGCTCAGACATGGCTCTGAGGAACCTCATTCCTAGATGGCTCCTATGCTCCCACCTTCATATCTGTGCTCAATTTATCTCATTGTCTGGGTGGGTATGTGGTTCACTGTTGTGTTTTTCACATTAATTGTGTCCATGGGTCTCTCCACAGCTCACACTGTGTACACTTAAAGTCCTTGATAGATCTTTTTGGCAGCTCTACTTTTCCCACCTCCTAACACTGATGAGGACAGTTCTTCTCTTAAATAGCCTCACTGCTTTCTCACAGCAAAACTGGCACTGTGGACTGCCAACTGACTCCTAATAATTTCTTTCCATGTGCACAGCATGATACAATTCTACAATGTGAATTTAAGAAAAAATAATCCTCCAATCTTACACAATTTTCCTTTTTCTAGACATCATGAAGTTCCTTTTGTGATACTCAAACTCAAATGTCAATGATAGAAACTTGCATTTTAAGAAGAGGCAAGCAGAAATTTCCCATCAACTGAACACGCTGTGCTATGCTTCTGGGCACACATTACAGTATCTTTTTCGCATCACACCTACTCCACTAAATATACAAAACACTGTGCAAGTGATAGTTTTGTCAGCCACCAGCTAATCAAATGAAAAATTATTAGGCTTAGAAAAATAATAAAAGCAGAAGCCAGCTGTGCATTTGTTGGATGAAAATCCCAGTGTCTCCCATGTTAGCTCATGTGTATTTCAATTTCTGGGAAGAAAATAATGGGAGTTTCTCCACCCTTTCTCATGTGAGCCATAAAACAGATTTATTACCTAGGATATATTCTGTGTTTTCTCCTGAGGAAAAAAGAAAGTGGTGGAACAAGTTCATTTTTTTCCCTTCTAAAACAAGGATTTTCTTTATAATAAACACAGAGCTTAATTTTGGTATCATATGGCCCTTCTATTTAATGCTCTGGTCACACTTTTTGCCTTCCTAAATCTTGAATTGTTGCATTTTCATTTCAGTGGGGAATCTACAGCTGCTCCAGCTGTCTGAGTGTGAAAAGTCTGTCCTCAGATTCCTATCTGGTGTTTTAAAGCAAAATCTTTCCCTCCCCTAAATCAAAGAAATTTAGCATCTACTGAAAAACTATGGAATAACTGAAACAAAAAGAAAAGCTAAACATTAGTCCATGTTTCTTTTTCAAATAGTTCCTGCTCTGCTTTACCTTACACTCAAATGTCACCCAGTGGCTCTGGGAAACTCAGGCTGCAGATCCAGAGGTTTAGGACAGGGTTGCATCTCATCTGGGAAGGTTATCCTGTACAAACAACTATTTTTTTTACTGTAATGGTCACCTTATGACCTTTAAAAATAAATCATGAGAAAGAAGATTTGCTGACTAAAAGATTTTTTTTTCTCCTAAAACTCTTAATTTGCTCACAGTATCATGTTACGATTCTAAAGACCTGTGCTGGTAAATCCATTTACAGAAAAGGTGACTTCCTCTGGAACTTCTGCTTTTGAGATGCAGAAGAGACTGATTCCTATTTTAAACACTTCTGAATCATTATATAGCCTGGATCCTCCAGTTTAGTGGTCTGGAAACTTTCAAGGCTAAGGCATCCCTTGTTAAAATGACATCCAGTAACACGGCTTTTTAAAGTAAATCTGTTGACTCTGATATTTGCAGCCTAAACGTGTTCTACAGTCTCCCATTGCTAACCAGCACCTCTGGTTTAATGAGTCACCTTCCTCAACACGGCAAACCTGACATCTCTCAAAGTTTCAGTTCTTCTGAATAATCCCATGATATATGAGCGTTTACACCAAGTCATAAATGCCAGTGAGACAATTTTTGAAATGACGAGCATTAGCTGCATATAATTAAAATGTACCATAGGAAGTGCATTCATTACAGTTGTGAAATTATTTTATTGCTTATGAAAATAAAAAAAAATTGCACTTTTAATAATACGACTGTGCCAGCACAGAGCTCAAAAGGAAGCTGGCTTGCTTGGGCAAAAAATTGTGCAGGTTTTTATAGAAGATCTGTTTCATTCTCAGTGTTTTGTGATCACTTACACTGCTCCACAGAGACCAGTAATTTGGAAACTAAAACCCCAGTAGCTGAAGAATTTTCAACCTATTACTAATTTGAAATCCTTCATTTGTATATTTTAGTGCAGTCAAACTGCACTCTTTTACAAAGAGAGCATAAATGCATCCACACAGATATTCGGAGGAGGAAAACACTATTATTGCCACTAGACTTACCTTTTCTCTTTATAAAGAACAAATGCAACAAACATGTAATACTGTGTTGAGATTCCAAGTTTGTACAGAAGTATCAGCACTACAACTCAAAAAAGGTGTCCAAAAAGCAAAGTTCAACCTTTGTTTCAATCAAGTTTGTCTTCACAAAGCAAGAAATAGCACTAGCATGCATCTATAATCCAGCTGCAACAGGACAATTTATTACAGAAGAGCAGTCATAGTAGCTATTTTTTCCCAATGAAGACAGTGCTTCATAGAATATAATTTTAAAAAATCAGAATCTTCATCTGAGCTAATTAGCAATGACTGGTTTACAGTTACTATTGATCCAATAAAATAGTACATTGTTATGGCTGAGCTTGCAGAGAAGTAGTACTCAAATTAAAAATAAGACCTATACAAACACAAAGCATAATACAGCCTGATGTACTTTGTGGTAGAGAGCCAAAAAAATGTGTGTCTTTAGAATATAATAACATATACAAGTCAGTAATTTAACAATTCTCTGCAAAAAGAAACTCACAGTATTCTAAAATGCTCAGAAAACGCGTAAACATATTTAGTCAACAGATCTGCTCCCTAAATACCTTCCCATTCCAACATTGTAATTCCAGTGCTTAAAAATAAGTCTCTACACAAATTAACCAAAATCAGACAATCTATCTCATATTAGAAACCAGCATCTATTCCAGTGCATGCACCAACATAATTCCCATCTGCAGAATCTTTAAAACTGATAATCACACATCCAAGCCAGAATAAACAGAGTTTGACTTGCTGATCGCAGGGTATTTTTAAAACAAGAAAAAACTAGTTTACCTGTAAATCAATGGAAGCGTTACTAGGAATCATTAAAAAACAAGAAGTTGCTCCAGTAGCTTTTAAAAAATCTAGCAATTTAGTTACAAATGAAATTTTTAAGGATTCCTTATACTTCTTGTAACTCAGGCAGACAGGACACATTTTTTATGACATTTCCCAGTCACGGAGCCCTCTCTAAAAGCTGCACAGAAATGCTGCTAAAATCGGAGGTTTCAGGAAGGAGCTTTGGAAGGATGAGAGACTGTGCTAAAAAGTGTGGCAAAATGCTCCTCAAAACAATTCCCAGAGGAAAAAGTTACACACATATTTCCACCGCGTGTGGTCTGTTTTGTCCAGAGCACACACCATGCTTGCTTTTTACCTTTTCCATTTCAAAAAGAAGCTGCTGTATCTGAAACCGGGATTGTTTCCCTACTCAAAACCGGCATTTGAAGGAGTTGTACAAGGCAGTATCGTTATTTTAAACAACCAGCACTGCTGAGGAGAAAAACGCATGAAAAGAACGCGCATGTCGGAGGTCAGTGCGCGGTGTCGCGCTCGAACAACGCGGCCGCGCTGCCCCGCCGGTGATGGGCGCTGCCCCGCACTGCCGCCAGAGGGCGCCAGCGAGAGAACCGGCAGAGCCGACTCCGCACCTAGAGCGGGCCCGGCAAAGCTAGAGCTCTGAACAGTTGATAAATACATTATTTTTCCTATTGTACTTGACAATAATATGTTTTCTTTTTAAATGCTTCCAACTGAAAGGTATTAAAGCACTTTTAGGTGCTCCTGAGGACTGCCACTATTCTTTTGCAAATGGTGGGGAGAGACCCACCTGAGGCCGTGCCTTCCTTCAACAGAACCATGTTCAATACTCAGCCAGCGCTGTTTCTGCCTTACCTCCGTCTGCTCAAGCAGTGCAGCGTCGCTTAAATACCTAAGAATACCTATTTAAACCTATTTCAAAGTACCGAGTTTATTATGGGGAGCTGTAAAATTTAGTACACTAGAACTGTGAGCTCCATTACCACCGCTGATGCTGATGCCTGATAGGGTGCGTCCGGAACTCAAAGCACACACACGGGTATCACCACTGCCAGAGGAACTCCTGCAGGGACTGTGCAAGCAAACTGCTGCAGAGCATCAAGGAGATGCAGACCATAATCAAAACATTAATTTTTTTGAGCAGATGCCTCACGTCAGCCACAGATGCGACATCTCCCTCACTGTGCTGGCTTGAGCTTCTTCCTGGGGCTGTGTGGGGCTCTGCAGGGCCGTGCAAGGCCGTGAGCAGCTTCAAAAACCCACGAGTGGCTATGCAGGGCCGTGAGGGACTCTGGAACTCCGTGCAGAGCTCTGAGAGGTCACGCGGGGCTCTGAGGGGCCGTTGGGCCATGAGGGGATCTGGAGCCGTGCGGGGCTCTGAGGGGCCATGGGTGGCTCTGAGGGGCCGTGCGGGGCTCTGAGGGGCCATGAGGGGCCATGGGTGGCTCTGAGGGGCCGTGAGTGGCTCTGAGGGGCCGTGAGTGGCTCTGAGGAGCCGTGCGCGGCCGTGAGTGGCTCAGAGGGGCCGTGAGTGGCTCTGAGGGGCGGTGCGGGGCCATGAGGGGCGGTGAGGGGCCATGAGGGGCCGTGAGGCTCTGTGAGGCGCCGCGCGCCGCGGGCCGTGGGTGACGTTGCCTCCGTCGCGCGCCCCGCACGCGGCGGCCGAGCCTCCAGCGCGTCGTTGTCCCGGCAACGCCCCGCGCGTGCGCACGGCACCGCCACCTCCTCCGGCCAGTGAGGCGGCGGCGCGCCGGTGACAACGGAGTCGTCCCAGCCTGATCCGACCCCGCCGCCACCCCCGCGGCCAAGAGTGCGGTTCCCCCCTCCTCCCTTCCCCCGCTCACCGAAAACCCTTCCGCCCGGCGGGGCGGGTGCGTGGTGGCGATTATTCGGCGATCCCCGCGGGAACCAGGCGGACGCGGAGGAACGCCGAGCCGCGCGCGTGACGTCACGGGCCGGCGGGCGGCGCGCACGCGCTGTCGGTGCCGGCGGGAGCGAGCGCGGCTGCGGTCGGGGCTCGTGAGGGGCTCCCGCTCACGGCTGCCCGCAGCGCCGGCGGCGGCACCGGCACCGGCACCGGCAGGCAGCGCAGCCCCCGCCGAGCAGCGCCGCTCCGAGCGTCCTGCGAGGGGCTTGGCGTCTGTCCGCTTCCTCACGCTCCGTAACCGGAAGGACCCGGCCTTCCGCGGGAGCCCGAGCGTGTCAGTGCTCCGTGGAGCCAGACACGAGCTCTGGGGCAGCCGGGAAGGGCTGTGCCTGCGGTGGTGCCGGGCTGCCGCTGCCACCAGGCCGTGTGGGACCCGGGCCATTCCCCACAGCTGGCCGGGAACGCCGATCAGTGGGTGCGCACTGGGCTGTGGTTTGGGCTCTGCCTGCACAGCATCCATTCATTGCTGTGCATGGTGTTACCGCATGCCTGAAGTCATCTGTCTCTTCCAGGAGCCACTGTGAACTTGGATTTGTTGCGGGATAAAGACCCTGTTCTTTCAGTGCAACACAGGCATATAAGTTTCCCAGGTCCTGCAGGAGAACTTCCTTAGATAAAAAAAGGTTGCCTCCTGAAATGGTTCCCAATGGAAGTTACTGATTAGATGTCACAACTGAACTAAATCAGGCAAAAGTTAAATACCGCTGTGTGTATTGTTGGGACAAAACTGCTGTGGGATTGGAGTTGTACACTGCTGGTGTACCCATCCACCCGCAGCAGGGTGGTGGGAAGCGCAGTGCAGATGTGCACAATGACAGCACTGCAGAGAGACCCTCCACTCTTCCCCCTGTCACAGGCCCCTGTCACTCCAGCCACACCGAGACTTGTTCAAGGAAAGCAAATAAACCATCATTTCCTTGTGTCACCTGTCTAGGAGTTAAAATCTGTGTCATTTATGTAGTTTTTCAGGAAGCTGTCCTGCTCTAGTTCCAGCTAGAAAGCTTGGTACCTCATAAAACGTGCTTTTCAGTTTTCCTACAATTTTTGCCTATGGATCAAAACTAAATTAAATCTAGCGCTGTTAAATGAGTGCTGTTCTATTCTGTTCCACTTCTATTGATGCAAACAAAGGCATGGAGATTTTTTGTGAGTTTGGGAAGGTAAATCTGGAGCTTGCTTTTCTACTCATATCAAATTTCTCATCAGTAGGAACACTGATTCCTAAATCCTTGCTCTAAAGGGCTTTAAATGGCATTTGGTGGTTATGAGAACTCAGTACACTGAGGAGGTTATGCCTCTCATTAGGAGGAATGTCCTGAGCACAGATAAATACATTCTGTATTGTATAATGCACAAGTACAGCCCCATATTTCCCTGTATGTTTTGCTGAAATGATTTGAATTAAGAGATTTAGAGCAGCAGATCATTGCTATAAATTGCTATGTATAATGGAACCACATGTGCAGTATACTTCAGGTCCTTAATTTGTTAGGGTCTAAATGTTTATTAGAATATGGTACAGTTGCTATTCCCTACAGTTGCCTTGAAAATGAAATACCCCTTTCACAATGCAAAGATAATGAGTTGTATGGCAAGATAAGGTAGTTACCAGAATTCAGAAATGACAGAATCCAATTAATTTAACATGAGTTAATGCAAAATCAAATTTACTACAGTTGGATGCAGTTTGTAATTGAAAGTTCCATTACAGCATGTTTTTACATGTTATCTCCTATCAGTAAGTGATCTCAAAAGAGTAAATCCTCTATTTTGAACAGCAGCAATGTGTTTAATATATCATAAATAACTCTTTCCTTACATGTTTGCTGTGAGGAACTTCAGGTCTGAAGAGCCCAGCTGTGCACAAGGGCCTGTGCTCTTGCTCTTTCTCACAAGGGGACATGACTGAGCTTAAAGAGAAACCTGGGTTTCATCTCTGACTGCTTTGTTGTGCTGCCCCTCCCTTCGTACTTGTTCATCCCTTTTCCTATTTTCCAGTCTTCTGGGTGATCACCCCTCTTTGTTTTTTGGGTGGGAGGGGTGAAATCAGCCCTCTAGTCAAATAAACCTTTCAACCTCCTAACTTCAAAATAAACACTTTTATTGTGGACAGTCCAAGCTCCTTAGGCAAAGCTTTAGGTCTCAAATCCAAAAGATACACTGTGTCCTTTTAATAATTTCATAGTGGAAACTCACTATTTGCCCATTCCTGTGGTGTTATGGAGGTTTTCAATGATTCTGGTTTAGGTTTCGGGATTAGCTGAAACCAGAGTGCCTTAAACCTCTTTAGAGGTTTGGGATTAGGTCTGCATCAGGCCTAATATAGCCTTTCTGTGCAAGGCTAAATTAAATGGCAGGAGTATTTGTTGTGCACTGATTCACAGGTGTTTGGCAAAATACCAGAAAACATAAAGAAACCACTGGAAGAATCATGAAGGCAAAGCCATCGAAACATGAGTATTAGCTAAGTACTGAGGTATCACTTGCAACTGTGGGGTCTTTCAGACTGCTTTTAAGTGATTTTAAGCATGGATATCATTTTTATGTGTCTCTTTCACATGAATGCGAGTAAATTGAAGATCTGTCTTGCAAATGGATCATGGATTTTATTTGGGTATTACATTCTGGTAATTTCTGCCTGTTTTATAGCAAATGTATATTAAAATTTGTCAAACAGCTGATATCACTGAAACACTATTGTTTTATTGTACACATAAATTCTACTCCTACTCTGGAGCATGCATTGCCCTGACAGAATATGCTAGGTCGCGAGGAGAAAAATGCAATAGATTTATGCCTACCATTAAAACACTGGCCTGTCTGGCCCAGGAGGCAGAGGCATTTGCCTCACTGATGACCATGGACTAACTGGAGGAACTCATTTTGTTATTTAGGTTGTCTACTGTGAGGCTTTTCAGCACTTTTCACTCACTTTGTCTCTGGTAGGGCTATTTCTCCTCTGTGTGTAGTTTGTAACATGGGCAAGGCCTGACTCCATGGCCATCCCCTGAGGTACTGTCTGAGCTGAGCAGATTTCATCAGGCAGAAGTGCAGCTCATTGCTGCAGTATCAGGATCTCTGCAAACTGCAGCAGCTGGTTTGGCTGCATTTGTAGGGAAAAGCCTGGCTCAGCAAAGCCTGAGCCTGGCATCAACAGATGCCAGAGATGGGGAGGCAAAGCACAGTGCCCAGTGGTTCAGTTCCTACAGCTGCCCAAAATCAGTCACTACCTGAGCATAACTGTCTTCTCACACTAAAGTATTCCCTTCACGGATCTTGTGCTTGTCAGCCCTTTACAGAAAAGGGTAGTTTGACTGCATTTATCGACCCAGATAAACAGATTTTAGCTTTGCTTGTAGATTTGCCTGTATTTAGAAAGTTAACTACATCTCAAGAATTGCAGGGCTTCTCTGGAGGTCTTTGCCATACCAACAATGAGTTCTCTTGCTGCATGCTATTTTTTGTATTCCTATGTTCCAAGTGTTCTGATCAGCAGTGCATACAACCAGGTCCTCTTTTCTCATGTCTGCTTGCAAAAGCAAAAAAGAAATAGTTAAATCAAGTTTAACAGGAGTATGTCCCCTCTAATCAGATGAGCCGTAAAATAAGAGGGAGGCTAACTAAAAGGATTTAATAATCTTAGAATCTGTAGAAAACATTATTTATAGCTTAAGAGCTACACAAGTCTTGAGCTTTAAATATAAGTTCTTTCCTTCTTTAATGGTGCATGTAAGGAAGAGCAAGAGAGAAATGTTCCAGTCAAGGACGAAATCATAAAATAATGAGCAGAAGAAGAATGAAATGAAAGTATTAGGGACCAGGGGAGGCTGAGTGGGAGTTTGTCTTCATACATGATTGATCTAAACTTGAAAAGGAAAAGAATAAAAGACTCCTCATCTTTAAACAAGATGGTTATTTGAGCATAAATAACAGTCTCATGTCAAATATGCTGCTATTTCCAATGGAGTCTTTTCACTACAAAACCACAACATTCTCAGCCCTAATCTCCTCAGATAAAACAATACGGCTGGTGGCTGTGAATAAAACTTTGAAACCAACCTCTGAAAACAGCCACACGTTCAGGGTGAAGAGAAACAGAGGAGACAAAGAGCTGCTGTTTATAGATCTTTGCCAGGCGAGGCCCCACCTGGCTTGCTTGGAAATGTGCTCTAACACCCAAGAACTGTTTCTCTTTGGGTGGGAAGTCCAGCTCAGCAGAGCCAACCCAGGGGACTGGGGCTATTGATGTATCTCTGAGTTTGGTCTCCCCAGGCTGAGCTGTCACTGAAAACTGCAGCACTGAAATGCCAAAATCCTCCTGGATGCTTGAGCCTTGAGGTTGTGTGAGGAAGGGTATGGTGAGAACAAATAGCTGGGTTCTCTGTGACAAAATGAGAACTCCTCCTTTCCCAACCCGTTTGCAGCCACATGGTGATGTCCCCTGCCTTGTGCTGACCCCAGCATTCATCTGAGAAGCATCAGGACTGATGCAAGGCAGGTTGCAAGGTGCCAGGAAAGGAGAGGGCCTGGAAGGGAGAGCAGTCACACTGGAAGAGACCTCCCCTGAGCAGTGGCACCGAAAGGAGCAGGCCAGCCAGGACACAAAGGTTTCCATCCAGAAAATGACATCTCACCTTAAGCAGGAAGCTCATTTCCCTCCATAGTGAGTGAGGAAAAGCAGGCTATTAACCACATAGGAACATCCTCTCCACCTTTTTTTCTCACTCCACCGTTTCCTAACATAACACACTTAAACAACAAGCTTTGGAATCCAGAAATGCTCTCCCATGGGAAGTGGGAGAAGACTTTTGTCTCAGCATAGACCCCCAGCTGTTCTCTGACTAGAAGGACCTTGCACTGGTGGTGGGGGATGTCCTATGGCAGCAAGACTTGGAGCAGGATCAAATGAGAAAACACTGTGGCATTTGCACTTTCATGTGGGTTTTAGGGGCATTGTCCATAACTCAGAAAAAGTCCTGATATTTTTGAGCCCCTCTCAGAAAAAAAAGGAAATTAACTG